ATAAACAAGACGGAAGCTTGTCACATGACTTTCAAGAGCAGCAAAATATCACGTGACATGTGACACTGTTCATATCCCCCTAACACCCAAGTCCCAGAGCAGGGAGCAGGTGCCTCTGGGGGGGTTTACTCCAGCCCGGCTCCTAGTGAGCCGAACCAGCTTGTTACTGGGGTTAACAGGACAGATTTACCAGCTTCCCCCAGCTCTGCAGGTGCAGCTGCATTAAACAGACCTGGAACACCAGCAGACAGAGCCCCCCTCCCCCCCAGCGCCAGGACTGGACCCCCCTGATGTACCATCAGCTCCAGCCTTACTCCCTTTGACTCTGGCCTGGGTAGCACATATTCCGGAGTCTGCCTTTTCGCCTCCTGTTTCCTCTCCCCTCTCAAAGACATAGGGGTTAGGACCGAGTGGCTGCTCTGACCTGTCCTCTGCTCTGTGCCCCTGCTACACCCTGGTGTCCCATCCGGGGCAGAGCAGTTGTCTGATCTTAGGCCCGTCTTGCAGCCTGTGCTTGTGACTTCTGGACCTCTGGACCAGGCTCTGGCCAGGGGCTCCATCAGGAAAAAAGGGGTTCCTGGCTAGGAATGGACAGATCACCTGCAAAAATAATCATTTGGTCCTCAAATGGTCATTATTCTTGGAACTGCTCTCTAGCAAGCAATATCTTGGCAAGGGCAAACTAGTTACAGCTGTACAAATCCTCAGAAAATACAATTACACAAGTATAAACAAATTTTAAAAAGGCACCCAGCTGAAAGCAGCATTTTCAACATTACCCAAAGGGTCAAATTACACAACAGTCTCGTAACCTTTATTTTACGAAGAAGGCTAACAGAAATATGGCAGATGCCTAAATTAAATACCAGCTGTTGCAGACAAGAACATAAACATAACTAACAGGGGCTCCTTAGGCAAATGTTTAGTTTGCTATTATGATCCTAATTTCATCAATCTAATTTTGAAAAGGCACACTTTTTGTAAAAGTCATTTATCAAATGTTCCAAATGGATCATATTGTCTGAACAGAGTAGTAAATTGCCAGAGATGTAAATTATGTTACCCCTACAACATTACTAGTACCTACTAATTAAATAAATCTCCTCTTCTTTTGACATACCATGGGCTGAGATTCAACTATGAGGGAAATTAAATATGCCCTTTTAATTTTTGGAAATGGTTAGAGAAACAGGAGATTAATTAACAAACATTATTTTTATCTCAGAATTGAGCTGACACACTATTCAAAGGACAAACAATTCTGCACAAGATGGTGTATTTGCATTCCTGTTCTACTGTGGATGTATGCAGCTATGAAGAGCGCAGTTTATTCATCTGCTAATGTCTTGCTTTGTGGTAATGGCAGAACCAATTGACATGACTGAAGGACACAATGGAATGATTGCTCAGTGATTATTCTTGGTGTGGCTTGACGCAAGGCTAAATCGGCCACAACGTTGTGTTTTCTCTCTTCTCTCTTCAGCATGGAATAAGCCTATTACTTGTTCCTCTGCAGATTATGCATGCTGACGCAGCTACCCACCTGAACTATATTGGCCTGTGGACACGGGGCACAGCCATAAGCATAGTGAATGCAGGAATCTGTGCTTTCCCTTCCCTGACAGCAGTTTTCCCTGGATGAGACGTGGCTCTTGACTAAATGGGAAGAGCAGAATTGTGGCATATTAATTGGCCAACAGGGATTTCTTTATGTAAAGCAGCCCCATGGACCTGTGTGATGACCAAACTGTAATTCTCCTTGACCTTTCCACCACGGCACACATTTCCAGGACAGGATTTATGTTACTTAGCTTAGCAGTGGCACTGTGGCTAAGGATCTGAACCTGTGGCTGGAAGGTTGCTGGTTCAAATCCAGTGGCTGGCAGAGGAATCCTTTTCCGTTGGGCCCCTGAGCAAGGCCCTTAACCCCAGCTGCTCCAGGGGTTGTCACGCCCTCTGCAGCCAGAGGGTGCTCCTACTCTGTCCTGTCCCTAGTTTCCTGTGCTTTTCTGTCCCTCCGGTGTCTCTCTCTGGGGCTATATATTTCCAGGTCACTGATTCACCTTCGCTCAACATTGAGGTTCAGATGTCCTGAGACCCGCCTAGCACCAGGTCGCCCCTCGTCCACTACCTGAGGGCATAGGTTTCTATACGGCATTTCCTGAACAGCTGAGCCCGAGCTAAACCCCTGTCCCGTCACTACGCATAGGGTCTTTTTCCGCTCTCCTGCCTCTCCACGGCTCGTCCCTTCCGACATCCGTGACAGGGGCGCTGTATAAGTGGCTGACCCTGCGCTCTGACCCCAAGCTTTTCCCTCCCCGCCTGTGTGTCTCATGGAGAGCAAGCTGGGGTCTGTGAAAAGACAAAATCCGAATGCAAGAAATGGCTAATAAAGTGTGGTAAATGGCTAATAAAGTGATTTTAAAACGTTACCTGCTGAAAGATGCACCTACAGTATGTTGCATTAACCTTGAACACCTATCAGCAGCGTTCAATGTGTTTTAAATTCCATTTTAATCTTATCCTTCCAAATTAACTAAATTAACAAGAGGCAAGGAAAAAAATTGCTGAATCTAACAGCACAGATTTTCCAAAACCGCTACCTATATTCGTTTAATTTTTGGTGTTCAATGTTCATGAGCATTTTATGGTTTAGCTTTTAAGCACTTTAAAGGTGCACACTAGCTGTTTGTAAGTGGTCAGGGCGTAGGACAGGATAGAGTGTCTTCCCATGTTATTCCAGCCGAGATCTCAATTACTCACTGCAATTACTCACCTAAATCAAACCAGCTCATCTGGTTTGTACCTTCATGAATATGTTCAGCACAGAGACTGAGTAAGTATTCCAGAGATGGCAAGTGTATGAAATGAATCTGGGAATTTACAGCAGGCTTAAACCCAGGAATTTGTGGTGATGGAAATAGTGATGGCGGAGTAAAACAGGGATCTGTGTTAGGTTCTTTCTAAGTAGAAAAGATTCCTGCAAAAGAGCGAATAAATGTTAACTCTACACTGAAGAAAGGTGTCATGTGGAGAAGACATTGTGCTTCTTCTGTCTACTTTCAGCATGGAATTAACCTTTACTTGTTCCATTCCTCAGGCATGCTCTTTAAGATAACTCCTTGACTTTCAAGAAGTGGTTGAACGAGACTCCTGAATTAATAAAGACTACCAGAGATATGGGCAAGATAGGTTTGAAGACTACCTCTCTGCATTGGTTGGGCTACAACTACCACAATTAGGCTCAGTGATAAGTAAGATTAAGTTTTTATCATTTGAACTAAATGTATTTGCTACTGACAAACTCAATTAAATGAGCCCCCATACAATTAACGCATCTTTGCTATGCAGAAATTATTAAACTGAGAGCAACACAAAGGCCCTAAATGGGCAATGGAATTGTTTCTCAGTTTCTCTGGAGGCTGTATATATTTATTAGAATTTATTATGAAATCCAATACACTACACAGAAAATCTGATGATGACTCATGATGTTCAGAAAAAACTAACTGCCATGAACTCTTTGTATTCTCTGCCGTGCATTTAGAATTAAATAAGGGCAAGATTCATTAAGCAATATCATAACAGCAAATGAGTAAGACAGATTATTTTCAAAACACTTTTCCTACAAAGTCCATGTTTTATGTATGAACTTCTGTTCTTTCCAAAGCTATTTACAGTCACTCTAGAGCTGTGCATTTAGGAAGATGGCAGGGAAAGAAATTAGCCAACAGACATTCATTCTATTCCTTAAAAAAATATTCTAAGTGGAACTAGCACCCAGAGACATATACAATATTAAAACACTTTGCACATTTGTCATTAACATCATATCCCAAAACAGAAAATCTTTCCTGAATAAAAAGTAAATTATAGACATACTCTGGATCAGCTCATTTGTACATAAATGCAATATGTGTTTTGTTCATCGTGTTATTCTTCGTACTAGTGCAAAACAGATATTTTTTTCTTGCAGTTCATGCTCTTTATTATGCAAATAGAAAGGTTAAGAAAGAGCCACACCTACAGATGCCCCTTTCATTCACACGACCAAAGGGCTCATTTTAATGACAAGCAATGGCCATTGGCTGGATAAGTGCTGCCCTTAAGAAAATAAATGTCCTGAGAAATGACTCCCAGCTAGAGTTATTAGTTTTAAGCAGGTTTCAGGAAGCCCGACCTCCTGTGCATTAACCATACGTTTGGGCTGACAATCTGTTTAGTCTACAGTGAAAATGAGTAATGAGGGCTTTTAGCCTTGGACAAGTATCACATGGATATTAATCCACATTATAATCTGATCCATAATTCATTGGAGGCAGATATGGTTTGTGTAATGTTTTTGCGAAAGGCATGGAGAAATTCAGAAAATCACAACAGATCACTGAACAGGGAGATCAGAGAACACTCTAGACTTCAATCTGAAAGCAATTACACTGTAGCCAGCCTTGGGCACATGAGTCTCCATGCGTGGTTGGAGAAGAATCCGTCTGTTTATTTACATGCAGAAAGTGAGGTTCCCCTTGTGATTCTCATTTTAGCTGTCAATAACAATCTTTTTTTATAATAATGGCTAATGAGCAGTGGAGGGAAATTCCTGAGCTAACAGAGCCAGCTTTCTCTAGGACTTTTCACCCCAGGTGACTTTTTACACTTACATTTCCTTTTGTTTAAAAGGAGCAACACAGGTCTATTGTGTGTTTGTGTGCTGGGGGTTGGGGGTGGGGGTGAATGCTGAATTCCACAGCCCAGAGCAATTCTGTCAATAACGTCACCTTAAGTGATCAAAATCCTGGATTTTCCACTCAGACATAGGTCAAACCCTACTGCCAAGCAACAGGCCTGACAGAGATGGATTATACAACAGAATTAAAGACCGAAGTTCAGAATGTCAAAAGTGCTATTATTCTTTAAAAGAAAAATATTGCTTTTTAGTTCAGAAGATTTAAAAGTATAGATTTTTCTTTATTCACACTTATACATTATGTATTTATTTTCCCTTAAGATATAAATTATAGGTAATATCCACATATCAATTTGTTCATATACAATCGGTGCAGGTCTGGTTTTGATTATTATTGCCGTTTGTCATTGGTGGTTTTTACAAAGAGACAATGTTATTTGTAGTAGTTCAGGTGGGGAGCTGCGCCAGCATGCGTTGTCTGCAAAGGAACAAGAAACAGGTTTATTCCATGCTGAAAAGAGAAGAGAGAAAACACAACGTTGTGGCCGATATAGCCTTTTCGTCAAGCCACACCAAGAAAAATCACTGAGTAATCTATGTTATTTGTAATGCTACAGAATATCTATACAAAACAGTAACACATTTGGAATAAACTTGCATGTAAGAGGAGAGGAGAGAAGAGGAAACTTTTTTCACGGTTAGTGTAGGAAAGTCTAATTTTTCGCTTTCTCTGTGCCTAGTTTTAAAGTCTGATTATGTTTGAAATGTTTGGGTAGCTTTAATGAAAGATTACTCCTTTTTCGTTAATTCAGTGAAGTCAGTGCTAGCCTAAATCCCCCCATGCTAAATGAAATAAGTGATGGCTAAATTAAACAGCACAAGATACCATCGCATATGAGATCACTAATAGCTACGCCCAAATTGCAAAATACTCTCCCTGGGCCATATATTTTTTGCAGGTTTAATGAGATACAGCCTGCAAGAATGAAAAGTGTTGATATACTTATTAAAGCTGCATGTCGGGAAGGACCCAGTATAAAATTGGATTTAATTAGATGATTATTTCAAAGTGCTTGATTGAGGCTGTGTTCCTATGAAAAGCCACTTCACAATGATAACAGTATTTTGGCCCAAATATGACAAAGCAGTTATAGTTTAAAAAAAAATCCAAACTGCTTTATCGTTAACTTGGCTTTTAAAACTCCCATAAAATAAGTGTCTCTACTCTTCTCCGTCATGCATGAGCTCAGTGTCTGAGCCATACGTATATCTAGGGCAGTCCTGATGTTTTTAATAAATTTTTTTGCTCATTTAGTCCTGTAATGTATTTGGTGAATGATATCGAACTGGCCTGGAAGACGGCTGATCTATCTGTCTGCTCCCAGCTGCTTTATAGAAAAAAAAAACCCTGCTCTAGTCTTACAAATTAGAGTGTTTTTCTGGGTTGAAATCCAAAATAAATTATTGAAAGTCAACAAAAACAACAACAACAACAACAACAACAACAACAACAACAACAACAACAACAATAATAATACATAATAATACATTATGATATATTAAAGAAAGTCTTTATTCATATTATAATAGGATTGGCAAAGATTAATTAATTTTAATGAAACCCTCTATTTGATTTCTTGGTACAGCTTAATTGCCTGGATACAGCAATTGGCTTCAGCAAATTATTTTGTACTGCAGCCCCATGAAAGTAATATTGTAAAAATAATTGAGCTTTTCTGGGGCCAATTTGTTATTAAATAAAAACACTTACAGTTCTGGTGTTTTGTGTCCATACATTCTTTTAGAACATTGTGTTTTCCAGCAAATTCCCTTACAGCTAGTTGCTCAGAAGACCTGCCAAAGACTTTAGCTCGTCCAATAAAAAGAGAGAAATGTTGTTCATTTTTAAATCTTGTGTGGTCTGGATATTGAAATTCACATAATTCGCGTGACACCCATGCCAACATCTTAGTGTTTCAGTTCCTAAAGTACAGTCATCTACATGTGTACTCTAATTAGAGTTTGAATAATTTGAATCTGCAGTGCAGACCTAAAAAATACATTAGACATAAAAAATTAAAACATTACCATGAACTTTCAGATCCCTACAATGACAGCACACATCTTTAAACAATAATCAGTTACGAGAGAAGAATATCTGCCAACAAAATGAGCTTAAACTTACAAAAAAGCTCCAACAATTATATATTGCTCGCAGACGTCTGGGAGTGGTGATTCTCTCTGTGCTGTTCTTTCAGTTCACGGTTTTTGTGCTTGACAGCAAGGCCGAGCGTGTGGGGAGCCCTCAGACTGCGCAGTCAGGCTCAAGGCCTCACTGTGTAGAAGACATTGTCTGGTTCAAGGAGCAGAAGCCATAGCAACCGCAGCTGAGTAAAAGACTGTACAAGCTTCAAGGCCGTTTTTCTAAGTAGAGTTACAATGCATACAATAAATCTTTAAGAAGACCCTGATGTGTCCAAATGGAGACCAAAATTGTTTTCCACACATCTGAGGAATCATTCTTGTGCTGAAAGCACACAGCACTGTGCCGCTCTGTGTCTGATTGTACGTTGTTTTGTTTTTGTACTTGCACTGTATAACAGAGGGCCCATAATCATAAGAGGTAAACTGCCCATTCCAGTTTTCTGTATTTTTTTTATTGCATACACTATTACACGCCCTCCTCATTCGGTCTTAGCTCAGTGCAACGCCACCCCTGTGCAGACGTGGGGAGAGTGAGGAACTGCAGACGGACTCCTCCTACGCCTTTTGATATGTCACAGGCTCCGTATCGGAGAATAGGAGATTCAGCACCGACTGGAGGAGAGCTGTGTCCCTCACTGACATCACTGTGAGCCCGCAGGCTCCTGGAGTCACTGTTTCACTAGGTAGCCGCTAGAGTCTGACAGACTCGTCCCAGCCCTGGGAGTCCCGAGCCCGTTGTACCCCTGGGGAATCCCACCACCCCAGCATTCTGGAAAGACAAGGACAGGAAACCCAATGGGAGTTGTATGTAGAGTGACAAGAAAGATTGAATGCTGTCGCTCCCTACTGAAGTACAAGGTACAAGAGATTTCAAGGGAACTCTCAGTCTATTCATTTGTATTTTTATGCAATAACCTACCTTCATAGCAAAACATCATGCTGATAATACCACTTAATGCAGATGTAGACTGTGAAGTGTGGAGATGCGCTCAGTACATATTTCAACCTTCAGGTCTAGACTCATGCTAACTCTTAAACCTACCCTTTATTATGAACAATAAGCTCTCCTCAAGGCCTCCTTAAGATTAGCTCCAAAACAAGGCCTCTCCCAAACCAGTGCTAAACCCTCAATCCTAGCCCAATGCATAAAGCTAACACTACCTGTCAGGAATCCATCAGTTTAAGGAGAAATTAAATGACCATTTTGTCACAGTCTCCTTGAAGAGTTTAGAGGTGTAGATAGAATGTAACAATAACAATGGCACAGCCACAATTGCAAAGACGTACAATGGTCTTTATTAAGAGGAACTGTGTTCCCAAAGTCCACAGCCCAAAAAACAAAGTGAAAAACACAAACTAACCAGGGAAAAAAAACCAACGCAAAGCCACAGTATAATAATATATACATTAATTGCTGTAAAAAAAAAAAAAAATTGTTGGAGGCACCTCCTACTCCAACCCACACCCAACTTGCTCCTACTGTATATCTCCCCTCCTATCTTGAAGAGCTCCTTTTCTAGGTTAAACTCCTCCCCCTAGAATATTCCACTATGAAGCAAAAAATAATTTTACAAAATAATAACCAGAATTCTGATAAACACAATTCTCCATTAAGTACACAACTAGCCAATGAACATAATATTTCCAAAAATAAAATATCATACTCATACTCCTTTCATGTACATAAATATTGTTTAAGAAAATACTACCCCCTCTTAATGGTATCTTCTTACAAATCAATCCACGCATGCGCAACCCCGAAACAGGCACTACTAAGCCAGCCCCTGTTGCCATGCCAAAGTTTGGGTCCTACAGGTTGCGGGAGAAACCATTTCATTTTGCCAGTGAGAAATCCAAACAACTTGTTTATTTGAAACATGTGAGTTGATCACCAATTTGCTTCATTTCACTTCTAAAACAAAGGAAAACAGGTGCTTGGTTTGTGTTAATGTTTAATTTTGATAATACGGGAACAACCTAACTTTACTCTGTGTGTGCACCCACAGAGCAAGCAAAGCTATCCGCGGAATTCCAGACTAGTTTGTTGACGTTGGAAACTAGAGTTATCGCCTTTGTTTAGATAGTGAAATGTTTGCGTATGTGTGTGTATGTGTTCATGTGGATACCCCACGAGTGCCAGGTGATCTGGAAATGGAGTCTCCAGTCACACATCTGTTCATACAGTTAGTTATGGTGTCTTTTTCTTGTACAATTACCAGTGCTTTCTGAACTATAAATACAACTTTGGTCCATCACAGCAATCAAAAGTCTAAGCTGAAGGGACAGGATATTATTTCAAACATATTAATGAGGTTAAATGTAAAATAGAACCTAATATAAGTTGTACTGTAGGTAGTAAATCTAGTGTTTAAATGCATTTTAATAAGAATCACTTTAATGGTTTGCTTTTTAAAACTTTGCTGTAAGAAATTCAAAAAACTTTATCATTATTATGTTCTTTAACTTGAAGACAGACTAATAATTCGGGATTGATTTGGAAGCTGTGCTAAAGCTACCATATGATGAATTTTATATTAACTGCAGTAGATTACATACACGGTTGGATGAAGATTGCGTGATATATAAATTAAAGATTCATTAAATATAATTTGGGTTGCATAATTGTGTGAACTTAAATAGAGGATCTACACACTAAAAATAGAGCTGCCATTCTTTTCCTTTAACTATTAATACACTTGCAGCAATTGAGAAGCATTTGAAGGCAATGCAATAGACTAGCAATGCGATAGACTAGCTCTGTTTCCTTTCAGAGTGGCTACTGAGCTCAGTCAGTACTGTCAGGGATTATTCTTCTCCAAGAAAGCTGATGACATCTGACCACAGTAATTGCAGGATATCGGTTCCTAAATACAGAAAGACAAGAATGATTATTTTTGCCAGTGTTCCTGGAGGTAAGATCTTTCCATTGAGAGTGCTCCGTGCCTGTTAGCACAAAAACACTGGGCACCCATCCCCTCTGAGTGAAATGGCGTGCTGATGACTTTCATCTTCTTTCTCCCGATAAGGAGCATTCATCCTGCAGTTTTCACTCTTGCCATTCATGTCACATAATTTACTGCAATGAGCTTCTTACTTTATGATGGTTAGCCAGGAGGATAGGGTGATTAATTTACAATTTAAAGGAAAAGAAAATCACCCATGTATTTAAAAAGTCCACCACACTTGTATTTAAAAAGCTCCAGAATTAAAGCTTCTGTTATATTACTATACTCACTGGAGTTGGTTGAAATGGTTGTGCTAACTCGTCAGTGCATATAAATGCTGTTTAAGGCAGGACATGCATGATTATAAATGGAAACACATTTTCAGACCCTGTCAGTATTTTCGTTGGCAAAATATTACACTGTACACATTGTAACTAAAAACCTCAGAAAACCCAAGCAGGTAACTTGAAAGTTTAAAAGGCTGCTTTGGGCCAAAACTTCTCTTTGACAGCCTTTTGTGATGGGAATATCAGGTGCAAACTGCAAGGCTGAAGCAGCAGCAATGCTTGTGAACTTCTAAATTGCTACTATCCTCCTATTTCAGTTTTATTTAGGAGCTTTAATGTATGACATTTCAATGTGAAAAATGACCTTTGTGCCAAGCCAGCAGCCGTGTCACCCTGCAGCTCTTAACTGGCTACCCACTGAAGCTCAGCAGGGTTGAGCCTGGTCAGTACCTGGAGGGAAGATCTCCTAGGAAGCTATGGTTGCTTCTGGAAGTGGTGTTAGTTAAAGCGAGGTCCTGACTCTCAGGGGTCATTGAAGATCCCCGGACATTTCTCGATAAGAGTAGGGAGTTATCCCAGTGTCCAGGCCAAATTTCCCCCCTCGGCCTTTAGTATAGCCTCCAAATTGCCCCCCCGTATGACTGGCTTGCACTTGCGCTGCGATGGACTGGTGTCCTGTCCAGGGTGTACCCTGCCTTGCACTCGTTGCTTGCTAGGTAGGCTCCGGCTTCCCGCAACACCATATGGTATAAATCAGTTTGGTAAATGACATGATATGACATGACCTTTGTGTCATACCAGTTATTCAAAATCCTCCAATACCAAGTGGAAACTTTGTGGGAGTACATTTGAAAGCAAGACCAGGTGAGTACTTCTTTACATACAGCATAATGTGAGTGTGGAACAAGCTACCCAGCCACGCTGTTGAAGCTGATACCCTGGTTTCTTTCAAGAAGATTCTCAAATTAATCAGCTACTACCAAATGAGCTGGACAGCTCTGATGACCTAAGGCTCCTTCAGACTTCCCCAGTATTGTCCCAGCGAGGGGATGCAGACAAAAGTAAGGAGAAAGAGCAGCAGAGACAGCAGGTCAAGGAAGTGGAGAACGGCCTGTGCAATCTGACCTGAGTTTCCCAATAAAATCTGAGTGTTTTTAGAGTAGACATATGAAAGTTATCATATAAATGGTCTTTAAATGGTCTTTCAAGGTGCATTAGAAAAATCTTTGATGTTTTATCACAAAGAGTCTATTATAATTAACAAATGGAAGATGTGAATGATCTAAAATGGGTATCTACAGTATGTGTATCTAATATCTGTAGGCATCTTAGACCTTTAAGGCTGAAATTAGACAGAACAGGTCAAGATCCTTGGGTCAATAACTGCTAATTATCAAAGGGCAGGCTAGGCTGAATGGTCCATTCTCGTTTGTTCTAATGTCCTTATCCTACATTTGTTAATTACACAAAAAACCCTGTTGCTTGTCTTAAACATGTCTATAAGACACAGTCGGGATTTAGGTTTGTAGCGAATAATGCCGTTTTTATTTCCTGTTAGAGTAACAAGGATGGATACCGACCTGTTAGCAAACGATAAAGTGTTATCCATCAGACAGATCAAGGGCTACAACTTGCAACTTGCAACTTGGGAAAAAATGAACCTGCGTAGCTTTGTGTTGATTGTACAGTGAATGACATCAGAGCCAGGTGTATACACTATAGATTTTTCAATCGGTTTAAGAACAGACGTATCATTCAAAAGTGAGCTCAAGTAGGTCATGTAATAAGATATTGGTGAGACCGTCAAGAATGACAATTGAGTTTCCAGTCTTTTCTGTTTTGACCCTCATTGTATGCTGCAGTTGATGCCGATCTGAACGATTCCATGAAAGCTTTCTATAGGAAGTCCAATGCACACATGATATGTTGTGTAGCTCGGTTATATAAGCAGCACATGTAGATCTTAGTCAATACAAATCTTCATACGGTTCTTAATTTTACGACTGCTGATGATGATGTATATTTGTATTTTCGTTTTGAATGCGGTTTCCTGAGCAACTTCCTGAAGGGCCTTCCACGCAAGACCTGGGGGTAGGATTCAAAATAGTGGACTGGACCGGCCTGTCGAGTCCCAGTGATTCCACAAAAATCATTGGTGAGCTTCGTCTTTTCAACTGGGACAAGCAACAATCAGAGAAAAAACAGTGATGAAAGAAGCCCTGTTAACACTCAGAATAATCATTGTTAGGAAAATGCATGGCACTCCTAAAACCCTTACTGATTAGTATCGATAGAACCAGCATAGGCTCTTTAACAATAACAGGTAATAAACAGAAGACAGAACATAAGTGTCTTCACCTTGCTACAGATCTGCACAGTGCTACTTGAATCCACATCCCTGGGAACTGTATGGCTTTGTCTGTTACTATAGCAACCTGGTTTCTAAGAAGCATTTGCAGGAGGGAGCATTATGGGTAATGATATTTAATCTTTAGATGACCAAATATGTGCTGAGCGCTGTCACACATGCGCCTGCGGGTCTTTATGTTTTCAATGTTTCATGCATCTGTGAGACTGTGTGATAGTAAGTAAAATGTTATTTTCTTAATTTTTGATCCGTTTTCTTTATTTGCCCTGTACATTTATTTCTCAGCATCTTAATAGAAAACAAACTGTGAAAACTGGGTCGTTTGTACTCTGCACTGGTGGCGTGTGGAAGACTCCATTCTGATCAATTGTAATCTCCCTGAGCATTACCGTGAGTGTCTGGAACCCGAAACTGAAGCACCAAGAAATCTGATCCTCCCTGCTGAGGCATAATGAGAAACACTAAATGCACATCACCAAACAATTGTTGGTCTCGTCGTCTTGCATTTTATGTCTCAGTTCTCTCAGTAGACGGTAAAAATGCAAATGTGTAAATTATTTTGATTTTATTCATTTAAAGCATAGTCGTAGTCTCTCAGTTCCTGTTGATAAATCACACAACCCAAAAGCAGTTTCCAATTTGAATTGGAAACAACTGGTTTTATGTGTATGGCTGGAAATCAAGGGTGAATTTCTAAGCCAGCCTTTATTTCAATAAATCATTCAGTAGGGAAGGCATAAGTCCTATCTTTCTGTGATTGAAAGAAGGCTAAATAATTCATATTTTAATATTTTAGTCTCTTTAGTAGGCTACATTTCTGTAAATATATTAGTACTAATACCTTGTAAGATGAAATTTCAAATAGCCCTATATGAAATCCAGTCACATGCCACACTGCCAGAGCTGGATCATTATCATCAACAGAGATTCCTCATTTAACCTGTCTTTCTGATGGTCTCTTTGTCTTCTTTACCTCACTCTCATATTTACTGTAAATATATATGACAAAAAAACAAAACAAATTAAGGCAGGCAAAACAGAAATCATTGAGCTTTTTGTCTTTTGGCAAAAGGACAGAACCAACACTGGCCAGACACTACAAATTCTAATACATCAGCAAAGTCTGCCGTTCTAGTATTGAAATATGTTCAATATAGTGGCTTGTGCATAGCTCCAAGACCTCAGATAACATTAAAAGGTACAATGTAGAATCTCTCCAGAGTGTTCCTGACTTGTGAGCTGCTTCCCAGATGGGACTATGATACTGATAAGAGACCAGTGAGCAGGCAACATGTATAATCCAAACTGCAAAATGCACAGACACCTTAGATATTAGTCACACTAATGAACTACTGGCTACAGAGTAGCATTTGCATTAAATTCAGTAGCAGATCCCTAACTTACTTAAATGGCATTGAACACTGTGCGCGCATTTGTCAGAGTATTGAGCAATCATTGCTTTCTGTGCTATTTATTTATTTAAGTGTTGTGCTTGCCTTATGACATCAAATGATCACACTGGGTCGCTGATCTCTCCTGGCAATAGACTGTGCTGTCATGATAAGGCCTGCAGTGTTGTACTGACTCCTATTGCACAGGGTTGCCGGACAGGAGCAGGCCTCTACCAGGCCCTGCTCCCGACTGGTGCTGCACACCCCTCCGAATCGCACGTCTCGGTGGAACCTTGTTTTATTCCCCATCTGCCACATGTCGAGCCCACAGGGAGCCATGAGGAATACGTTTCTGCCTGCATGCCAGCTGAACCTGCCTGTCGCCGACTGCCGTTGTGTGCCGAGAATGCCAGGAGACCAGAGCACTGTCCCAGCTTGGAACACATTGGAATGCAAGTGCTGCCGCCTCTCCTCCGCCGACCCAGGCTCTCGGGATGAGTCGTGCCGTTTTCTTTCTCTCACTCTGGCCCCAGTGGCCCGAGCTGGTTTTCAAAACTCAATTCCCCCCAAAAAAATCCAATGCCTTGTGCATCCACAAAGGCTCACTCCAAGGCCAGTTTGAGCAGCTGAAGCAGGTTTTTTTTTTGCAATCGATCCGGCTTCAGAGATAAAGCAGTTTGGGAATTCACTTTTTTTTATTAAATGTTACCTTACATCCTGTCAAAAGCTAAAATAACAATATCTCTGCCATATACAAGAATTCATCATTTTAAACGTATGCCAGTAAGTACAGCTGAAAAAAATCCAGTACTTCAGAATGAAAGTGATATTTTTGCATTAACTGTTCTTCCTTGTTCCTTTCTAATGATCCTAGATGCTTTCCTGGCTTGTGGGGGGTCTAGCATTCAGCCTAATGGCTGACAAGACGTTAAACTGCAGAATCCCGGAGATGTGCACTTTTTGTCAGCAGCAATCGCTAGTGATGACAGTAAATGGTGGAATCGCAAAGTAAAAGCCTAGTGTGCTGATACGGCGTATTAATCATCTGTCATTACCAAACCCTTTGCAGTGAGTAAGTGTGGAATTCTTTTAATAACAGAGGCTTTAGCAGTAGAGCATCCATCACATTTCAAGACAAGACAATTGATGCTCCAGATCCCGAAAAAGCAAACCAGGAAAAGGGATTAATCTGGAGTCTTTTCACAAGACTCACTTTCCATGTAATATCACAACGCAATTGCAGAATAATAAAAAAATAAATAAAACAGAACTGTTTGTATCACGAGTTCCTGCAGTAGATGTACTCTTTCCCCAGAGCAAATCTCGTCACACATTCCTTATAATCTTCGGAATGCTGTGGTGTGACACCAGTGGATTTCGTCAGATCATGAGCTAATGGCCTCATGTGGTCAATCCTTGAGGGCTCTCTGAGGCCGTGGTCACTCTTGCCAGCAAGTAATAAGCACATCCGCTGTAAATGATATACCGGTTGTAGCGGTATAATGGCTCACACTACAATGTTAACAAAAAAAAATCTCTGCCAAGCACTTACAAAAACAGATCCTCCAATCCCTTTCCGTAGAACAGAACTGTATTTCAACATTACTGTGCAGAGCAAATGAAACAGGATTGTCGTACTTGTTAAACAAATCTCAGACATCTCATTCTGTATGAATACACTGCATCACAGCTGTGTGATCGTGTCAGCACAGTGCTGACTACAAACAGATCAAAATGCACCTAACTTGTTTCTGCTGGATGTGTCGGTGCCTTGAGAGGAGTCAGCATCTCAGGAATGAAGGAAGACCTTACTGGGTCCCTGTCTGAATGCAGTACTAGACTGAGAATCTGTCTCATGCTCACTTGCAGAGCCCTTTGGTCCAGTTTGTTTAAAACGAGAGACAAGTTATCAGCTCCTTAGCAATAAAGAAAAACGGGGTGATGAGCCTTTCAGGTCTCCCACAGTCAGAGTGAAGACGGAGCGTTGACTCGTTTTGCACTTGCCCCGTCGTCACGATTCATTTGTCTGGCGGCACCTACAGCCCACTCCGCCGACAGAGGAAGGGCACGGAGACGTGACCTCTGGAGTAGACATGCAGCCGGAGAGCAGGGAATCCTCCCCCAGGGCCAGTCGAGCGCCACGCGGGAGAAGCAGGGAATCAGGCTCCCAATGAGCCGCTCATTTGGATCATAATAGAGGGACATTGATCAGGTTCAAAAGGCTTGAAGCTGCTGATAGAGCTCTTTATCTCCTCGCTGTGGGGGCTCTCCAGATTAGTTGAGGCACCTCAGCGGGGACTCTCAGCCACTGATTGCAGTTTTGCAATCTTCCATCTGCCATCAATTTGTATAGGAAATCACCAGAGATGGGAAGGATCAAGCACTGTATATCGTAAACATACTGTTTTTACACTTTTGTTAACATCGCGAAAATAAAAAACCCGTTGCACTTCTTTTTAACATGTTAGCATGCCCATGCGCTCGCTCGTGTTAGTCTTCTGGCTCTGCTTGTAGTGGGCAGAGGAAAGCTCTTCAAGCAGACCCTGAGGGTGTCCCTCCAGAGCTTCACCAGAGATCCTGAATCACAGGGGAGCCTCTCACAGGATCGTCCACACTAGTGCTGCTCAGTTCGGGAAGAGGGGGATCGGAGAGGCTGGGAGGAAGAGTCCTGTGTCAGAGCCTGAACCAGGCCTCGCCAGCCGCTGGCTCGCTCGCTGCCATCATCACCCCTGGGAAAGGCAACACCATTGTCATCTTCGCTTCCAATGGGAGAACAACTGAGCATCTATGAATTGGCTTCATCACTCTACTCTCCTCCCCACTGAGAGCTGGTGTGTGGTGAGCGTTCTGGCGCACTATGGCTGCCGTCGCATCATCCAGGTGGGGCTGCACACTGGTGGTGGTGGAGGGGATCCCCATTACCTGTAAAGCGCCTTGAGTGGAGTGTCCAGAAAAGCGCTATATAAATGTAAGCAATTATTATTATTATTATTATTATTATTATTATTATTATAACACACGTTAGCTTCAAGAAAAAAAGCCATTTGTGAACTTCAGGTTTGCTCAGAAAAAACAAAATTCTGACTTGGAGTCATGGTTAATTCATTTTGACAACAAAAACTCTTTTTCTTTCCTATACTAATGACATATTCAGTGAAGCGCTAATTATGGAATCCTTTTTTTCTAATTAATTAATGCATTCATTCATTATGGACCTAATCTGAAAATTATTTTACACTGCTATCATCACAGCGCAATTAATTACCACTGCAGGAGAAAATAATCAGCTGCAACAGAACATCAGCAGCCTGAAGCCTGTAGAAGCTCAAAGAAGGGGGACAACATTTACTCTGCTCTCTGGTATTGTTCATACCAACTGGCAAAGCCTTGCTGGGCTCATCCAGCGAGCTGCAAGTGCCATTGACAGTAAAGCCACCGTGTGGCATCATGAGGATTTCTGGTGGCGTGTTTTGTTTATGAAGATTCTTGATTATCCTGAGGAAATGCTTGTTTGCCCAGTTGTTAAAAACCAGAGGATGTTAAGTTACTCATTCTCACAGGGGGGATGCATTCTTGCGGTGATGTACAGTATCTACCACACGAGGCCGTCCAGTCACAGGGGCTGCGCACATCACCTTCAGACACAAAGGCAATCGCAGCCCCTTGCCTGGATACAGCAATCGGGGGCCTGCAGCCCCTGCTTCTTCTGCAGTGACCGCCTGGCCTCTAACAGCACATGAACAGCCTCGCCGTGGCCCTCTCGGCCTTTTCGCCAGCCGCAGACACGACACGACACCAAGCGCGATGTTTCCGAACTGCAGGCGTTCCAGCGCTGCCCGCGTGCAGTCATCCTCCATCACGGACCTTCAGCCTTAACACACGCTTGTGCTTCCCAACACGAATACCAGCACCCTGAGCAACACTGTTTAGAGAAGCATCAAGAATGGGATTGAGGGATGGATCAGTCACTTTCACTCCAGGGACCCAGTAAAAGTTTTCCCTTCTGTGCACAGAACAAAATGAGTTTATTACCGTTTATGGATAATTATAGAATAAAATATACAATATTATACTGCTGTAATTTATCTATATATCACAAAATACTGTTTTACTAATTAGGTTTGGCTGTTCATAACTTATTTATGCCAGAGTGTTACATTACAGGAAGTATGGTACCAATGAGGACCAACACCTGGCCCAAATGCCTACTGACAAACTGTGTGACCCATACCAACTCACACCATCCACAACCGCCAGTCATTACAAAACACAGACTGGCTTCACGATCCTTCTCATATTCTTTTAAGAAAACACGAGGAATGAATTTTACCTGAACACAGTACAATATATTGCTCTTTTGTTAGTTTTAATAAAGCTTATTTCAACTTTTTAATCCTTTAGATATGTCTGGAACTGCTCCCTGTGTTTGATAAACAGTACAGCTAAAATGATAAATGTATTATGCAGTTTCTATACAAGTATATAACAATTCTCTATCAATGACCTTGGAGAATTAAAAGAAATGTATGCATGTTTGAGAGACGCTGTATTATTTTTATTTACCCCTCAGAAGTCACTGCACTTTTTCCTTTTTTTGCTGCTGCCATCATAACCACGTTCTGGTTGGTAAAGGTTTACTTCAGCTTAAAACACAAACGGACCAAGGAAATCACTGCTCTGCAACACCAACAAAGAAACACAAAAGCTAAATGAAAAACACTGCCATCCAGTGGTTGAACCTCTTGAATGAAACAGGAGAAAGCCAGGATGTTAGTTTTCCACAGCTAATCTTCACTCACCCTGCTCGGCAGGGCTCTGGATATGAGCAGGCCCTCTGCAGGGCTCCCCACTAAGCAGCTCCACATGCAGCTGAAGGAGAAACATCATCATCATGTCTTTACTTTGCTTTTTCAACCCATATTTACAGTGGGACAAGAGGTTTACTCCATGCTGAACAGAGAAGAGAGAAAAGGCAACGTTTGGGCCGTGGAGCCTTCTTCAGGTGTGAGGCAGGCAGTGCAGTCATATTTACAGTGCTGCCTTTGCTGCTGCCTGCACCCCGCACCCCTTTGGTCCTCAAAATGTGCTCTCGCACCCTGGATCAAAAACCGTTGAAGTAGTTTCAAAAAAGATCTGGCCTACACACCTCACACCCCCAGAAGTGCATTCACCTCAAGTTAAGAACCACTGTATTCAGTTAATAACCTGCAAATCAGTATTCTAGTATGCACGTGTGACTGTGAACCTTAAAAACATTCTCATGGAAACTGATTATCCAACCACAAATAAAGAATAAATTTAACGTGAAACATAAACACAACTTCAGAGACAGCATATTATTCTTGTGTTTATTTATGTCTACTGTCCATATGTGGTGTCAATTCAAATATTAAGACACAGGTGCTGATAATATATTTGTAAAGCTTTGTTGTTTCACAGACGACACGATTATTTTTTATGAAAATCTACATTTTATAAACTGTGTTGCTATGTGAAAATACCAGATTACCTGATAGCAATGGATCCATCTGACTTTTGAGTGGTTTTATTTGAAAACAACCACAGAACCAAGGATAGAAAGGATAGAAGGATAGTTTCTGAGCCACCGAAACAAACCTCACTTAAAAAAAAAACATTAATATTCAGAAACATTCTGGAAATTATGCAGTGGCAAAGCTACAAAACTAGAAAATAATCAGTAGAGATGGCTTTTTAAAAATATTTCCATGCAGTCACAGTCAGGCATCTGGGTGAGATTAGGTCTAGAGGCAAAAGGCGACAGGGTTTCAAGGTTTAAATTTAAAATCTGGCATAAGTGATTGCACTCCAGTTTTTACAAAAATATGTGGTTTGCCTCCTAATCAATCCATCTAAAGTCTGGCTGTCAGATCTAAATGTCTGGAGTCGCTTGGATAAGCATGACAGATTCCAGGCCTGCACTGATTGTGAAGGATCACTCAGCTCAACTGTTTTTTCTAGTCTAGAGCTCCCTCTGGTGTCACTTTCAATTACATCAACTACAGCTCGCGGTCCAGATAAACCGTATTCACTATGCACACATTCGACATTAACAGTTTTACCTCTACAGTTCATCTGTTTCATACAGGAAAGAAAAACAATTAAATTGAACAAAGCATTGGAATACTGATAACAGAACTATGACTCTTTTTTAAAACAAACACTAGTATAAGATGTATACATTTAAAATAAGCCAGAAGTCAAAATTCGATAATGGTGCACGTTATTAATCATTATCATAAAAACAATAAATTAATTTTCAGTAAAGTGTTTTATTGCAAAACAGAATATTGGAATGATTTATTTTGTCTTATTAATAATAAGTAGTACTAAGACTCTGCAGGGTTGTATAATTTATAGCTTTCAAAAACTCAGTAATAAAAATGCAAAGTGTCAAATTGATTCTTTTCATGCAAGAGCATTACGACAGCATTTAATTTAAGTACTTTAATGAATGCATTAATTACTATGTGTTGAACCAAGAGAGAAGTAAAAGAGAATAAATCCTACTGTGCATGCTGTAGCTTGAGAAATGTACACATCAGACTTCTGCACTTCTAACAAATAAAAAAAAAAACTTGTGGTCTTAAATCCTTTTTCATTGAAAAACTAAAATAAAAACCACACAGGCTTTACATTTAAAAGCATACATTTATAAGAAACAGTAAATAGGTTATGTTGTAAGAAGCCCTTCATTCATGCATGAACACCTGGATTCCCAGAGCTGTTGACAGTGCAACTTGATGCTTTTTTCTTCAGAATCAATGCTGAAACATGAACCAGAGGACACAACTGGAGACTCAGGGGAAGGAAACAGAAAAACTCAGAGCAGGAGGTACACAAAGGGCCGTGGGTGTCTGGAACAAGCCACCCTGACTGCTTATTGAACCTGATGTCCAAGAGTCCTTCACAAGACTGCTACTCAAGATCCTCGGACCAATCAGCTACTAACAGCCAAACGAGCTACAGTATGTGGGCCCAATGCCTCCGCTCGTTTGCAAACATTCTTATCTTCACATATGCAGTATATTCTGCAGCTCTTCATGTTTAAACTATTCTTAGTTATTGTCACAAGCACAGACCCTGTCCTACATTTGTTCAATACATCCTGTGAAATTTCAGACAACAGGTTAAGCAAGACAGTGGCTGAAACGCTTTATTAATGGTCTGAATGTCACAGTATTTGCCAAGTGTGCTGCTGCTGCTGGTCTGTCACCTCTGTTGAGCAGCTCCCTGTCTCACCCCACTATGGGGGAGACGTGGGTCCCCTGTTGCCCCTCTGCTGTAGCGGCTGGAGCTGACTGTCAGGCCCTCATCCGGCTCGGTGGTCACGCGCAAACGTTTCCTCTTCTCTTCAACCAGCTGACAGAACAAGAGGCAGCTGGAAGGGGGGCCCGTGACCTCGATATGGGGGACGAGAGGAGCCACGAGAACCCTGCCGCAGAGGAGCTTTGCTTCCTCGCAGACCTCCGCTAGCCCCTCCCTTTCAGCCTCGCCCCCCCCCCCCGTACTGGATGATCTGAGTGCGTAACGGGCGCTGCAGGTCCGCCAGCAGCTCCTGGAGCTCCAGGTGGGCCCTTCGGAGCTGAGAAGGCCCTCTGGCGCTCTCGGTCAGGGTTATGCAGGTAAGCTCTCCTTGCACCTCTGTTGTGCGTTCCACGAAATACTCACGCGAAATGCGGTCCAGGTCCTCTTTGTGATAATGCTGAACGTACCTGAACACGTTCGAGTCCAGCCACACCGAGCACTCCCCGGCGCCCGCTCCGGGCACCTGCTTCGTGGGGGACTTCGCCGGCCCCTCTGCACCCAGCCTCAGGGGCTGCTGGCGGCCCTCGCGCCCCGCGAGTTTGGAAAGCTCCTCTCTCAGCTCCCTGACGGCCGTGAAGGGCCCCTCCACCAGGGCCCACCGGTGTGGCGGCGCCACCGTGACCCTGACCGGCCTGCGGGTGGACCGCAGGCCCCGGAGCACGTTTCCACCATCACCGAAGAGCGACAGGTCCACCTCCGCACGGGCATAGCAAAACACCTAGAAACAGCACACCCCTTTCACACACACGGCTACACAGAAGCACGCAGAAACACGGACAGCGGGGTTCTGCACGCACACTGACACACTTACGTCCTGAGAGAATGGGTAAACGGTCAGAGGATATTCTTCAAGCAGCTCTGGGTCTTGCAGGGTCTGTGTCATCTGAAGCACCCGGTCTGCGTCTGTAAAAGCCCATCGGAATTACGTCAAACATACTTCATGGGGAACGGCGACGCCCAATTATAACACGTGTTAGAAATGTTCGTGTGAAAATGCTTGGCCGTACGATGAGGACCCCATAACCAAGGGGTTATTATCACCTGTTGGGTTCGTTTCAGTCGAGCTACACAGCTGAACCCTTAAGGGCAGGACTAGTCTGTGCTCATTCACTTCTTTTAATACCCTACACAAGAGGGAGGTCGCATTTAAACTATTGCATTTCGTCACTGACCTCATTAAAATCCCCAACCTTTGGGTAGGAAAAAAAAAATCAGCAAATATTCCAGCCAAGCAGCCAGTTAGCCCAGTTCAGGCATTAATGAGAATGTCCAACTAGGCTGCGATGCAAACCCAGCAGCTGCTTAGGTGACAGAGAAACAAACTCCATCAATTAACAACCCGGACTGCCGGGTGACGAGCGGGAGACGGGTACTCGCAGGTGAGACCAGATGTAATATCACTGACGGCGCAGCTAGGAGGTCGACCCCTACGCAGAGGAAAGAAGAGCGCCCGTATTCTGGGAACCAGCCTACCCCTCTGCTCCTCAAACGTAATGAAGGCAACGCCCTTGAAAGCTGTCGGGTAGCGGATCGCCGCCACATCGCCCCCGCCGCTCCTCGCTCTCTGAAAGTGAATGACCAGCTTGTCCGCCATCCTGCCGCGGTCCAGCGCATCGTCCGGGACACCCGCCACCACAATCGTCCGGGCTTCCTCCGCGTCCATCCTGCGCCAGCCTGTGAGCAAGAATGACTGTCCATCACCACCACCACCATCACCATCACCATCATCATCATCATCATCATCATCAGCAGGCCGGCAACGGAGCGCAAGTACCCCTGCTACGCAGCGTTTATTATTAATCATTTATTTCACCAGTTAAAGCAACGGAGACGAAAATGTGACTTTGCTACGACGACCTGTGGGTTTACCTGTTACCTCTCCAAACACCGCTTCCAGACTCGCCCAGTGTGGAAACACCGTTTACGGAATAACGCTGTGTCCCGACAAACCTGAGGACGAGAGGGAGCCGAACTCGGCTATTAAATTGATGGATTAAAATGCATCCATCAAGTGCGAAAGAACATTGTCCGAAACAACTGTTTTGTGGCACTAACTTTTCTACAGTTAATGCTAAAACAAAACCTAGGTAACCGATTTCTATCGTCTATGGGTATTGTAGTTTATTTAAATACCATATTTATGCGCAGAGCGCTGTATAGAACTACAAATCCCAAAATGCAATGCACAATTCATTAACTACGGTCCGTACCCTAACGTCTTGTTAGGGACTGTCAGTGTGTTGGACGCTTGAAGAAAAGCGTTCAATTACGGCTTTAAAATGTAAACTTGACATTTATTATAACGGAGGTTAACAGCGTGGACAAGGCGATAACGCAGTTAAAGAAACGGTTCACATTACTCAGATTGCTCCAGCCCATTCCCAGCTGTACATATACTGTAAATGCGTCTCCGGGTTTGGTAAATGCGAATTTGTTCTCAAAATCGACCTACCCGGTCAAAAGAAGGAATACATTGAAAATAAAAAGCGTGAGCTCACCACTACAAGGTGCTTTTGCCCAGATACGAGAAGTGAACACACGAGATGGAAAATGTGTGCAGTGGGGCTACGCGTCTGCGGGGGTGAACTGGTTTTGTTCCCAGGTCATATCTGTTCAACAAGATGTCAGAGCACCTGCCACAAAAATGACGAACTTTGTGTCTTATAACTTCCCGATTTTGTTGCGGTTATAAGTGATATGCTTTTTATGGTCAGTATATAGCACATTTATTAGCATTTGTGCAGATTTATGAGGTGTAAATCTTAGCCGGTTTTCTTCTTAGAAGTGCATTTACAACTGAGGACTGGAGGCGCTCCTTCGTGCAAAGGATTTGTGGGAATGTGGGACAAACTACTGAGCCATGTGACTTTCAAGTAACAGCTGGATGAGATCCAGGGTCAATTAACTACTGAATACTTGTAACTACTGTATTCTAAGGTTTATTTTGTTTATGCTTATTTAGTTTGGGCTTATTTTCTGTATGCAGTGACTGAGAGTGGATCTCCGTTCTGTATGAAATTGATTTTTCGTCACAGAAAAGACGAGGACACGTTAAAGAAGTAAAGGCACAGTTTGAGCTTTATTAATAATATGGATTTCAGAACATCAAGGAACATAATGAACATTAAAGTTGAAAGATTTTTAAGGAGGCATGTTTCAGTTCCAAGTCTGTTCATGGGAATAAAGAATTTTTATGTATCCAAACTCAATAAGGTTTCTATCCCAAAAATTATCCAACCTTTAAAATACAGAAAAATATCCCAAAAAGAGGCATGAAACATAAACGACAACTTCAAAAATGTGAATTTCTTCGTACTTGTTTAAGGCTTCAGTTTTGAATGTTGGCTTAGTGAGAACCTCACGCGTGAAGAACAAGAGGGTCAGCCGTTTCCCCGCAACTGCTCGTCACTTCGATGGACCATAAATGAACTAAAGAAAACAACAGCTACATTCCCAGGCTTAGCTTTTATCATGCAAACTTATACACAAATCTTCATTTTAAAAGAGTCTCCGGCTACCCCTGTAAACCCAAATTTCCTTTTAAGTGACGATAGAAGGCCACGACGTACAAGTCCGTTGGGAAGGTACTTACAAAGCCATACAGGTAAGGAATACACGAACGATATACTTCAGTATAACAGGACAAAGGTGATGAAGGCTTTCCCCTCGAGTCCTGCAGCGCTACTCGGCCTCAGCGGTGTCCTCCACGAAATACGCCTCCAGGCTGCGGCCCTGGCGGACGTACTTGATGCTCTCCACCTCGCCGCCGTAGTTGCTGGGCTTCTGGAAGTGGATCTCCAGGTTGTCCTGCAGGTCCTCCTCCTCCAGCTCGTCCCGCAGGCCGCTCAGCAGCACCGTGCGCCTTGAGACGCCGCAGAACGTCTGGGAAGAGGGCACGCGGAGCCGTCAGGGACGCACACACGCACGCACGCACGCGCACAGAGTCCTGAGCAGAATATAGCTTCACTGCTGACGAAATGGGTAAATTTATATATATAAAAAAAAGATTACTGCTTTTTCAGAACTGTATCAAGGTCTGACGACCTGACTGTCCCGCAACACCCTGCTCTCCCTGAATAGTATAAGAATATTGCAACAGTGACGCATGTGAACCAATGATCCATTCTCATTCAGATTCGTGGGGGAAATGCATACAGTACGTCACAGCTCCAGCCCACGGCTCTAACGGAGGTTCTGACTCACCTGTAATTTCTTTAACTCGTACTCGAAGCACGGCTGGACACGGCTCTCAAGCACCTTGACACCTGTGTCTACGGTGTGTTTTTTCTTCAGGGCCAAATGCTCAGCCACTGCCATAATGGGGGGGGAAGAAATGGTGGCATTAGATCTTTCGTGTTTTCTCGGACGAAAGCAGTGACTCGCCTGACCGATACTGGAAAAAAACAACCTCTTGTACATTCACAGTTCTCCAGCTGCCAGTGTTGTGCAGTGTCGTGTAATGACAAGAGCTCGCCACCAGAGGCCGCCCCTTGCAAGGGCCTGAAGGCCTCGGTCACTTTCGCTCCCTGTTGGACACAGCCCACCTGTCTACGTCTCCAACCGATCGACTCGAATGCAGACGTTTCTGCATGTTTGTCGCTGGACACGCAGAGATTGTGTGCCTTGGAGACCACATCCTGTCACGGAGAAGGCGTGTCTCCTCTCCACAGAGCTCAAACCTGCTTCCCACAATGAAATGATTCCACAATGACTGATTTCTATCTTCCTCACAGGAGAGGAATGCCTCTCGCTTGGCCTGAATGGCGATTTCAGATTTTCACCCCGTGCGACAAAGGCTGCTCGCTTCCAGAGGCGTCTAAATACAAACCTCCGCCGTTGAGGAACGTCAGGAGCCCAGTTCCTGATCTGCCATTGTAATCCACACTCTCCACCTCCCCTCCTCCCTTGCTCAGCTTGGAGAAGCTTATCTCCAGCTTGTCTCTCATCGTCTCTTCTGGCACGACAGGTGGAATATTGGAAACTCTGACCTTCCTCTTCGAAACTCGGATGTGCAGCTGCCACACAACAGGGGCAGATGTGAGCATTGTTCCCAGATTAAACCAGAAGAAGTCGTGTATCAAAATACTAATGAAGTCAAATCATTTCATAACTTCACAAGCAGATGCACACTGGCACAACCACTTGTTTCAAACAACCTTAGTCGAGAATGGAGAATGGCTTTGTACCTCAAATTTTACTGAAGGGTCCATTGTCACACACAGGGGCTTCACATCCATCTTCGAGTTGTCAAACTCCACGTGGCATTTGGCTAATTTTAAGATTCTGCTTGCAACTTGAAAACAGAAAGAAAGGGTTATGGAAATTAACATTTTAATATTCTATTTCTCTTGCATCTTAGGCTTCCCTTTCTTGGCAGTAACACATCCACCCATTGTCTAAGTGCTTTATCCAGTACAGAGTCACGGGGGAGCCCGAGCCTATCCCAGCAAGCTGTGGGCGTGAGGCAGGGTACACCCTGGAAGGGACACCAGTCCATCGCAGGTCACACACACGGGGCCAGTTTTCCCAGGAGCTCATCAACCTACCAGCATGTCTTTGGACTGTGGGAGACAACCAGAGCACCTGGAGGAAACCCACAGGAACACAGGGAGAACATACAGACTCCACACAGACAGCACCCCAGGAACTGAACCCAGCACCTTAACCACTGCGCCACCATGCCACCCAACTGACAGTAACCAGTGACAACAGAACTGAACCTGGGACCCAAGCGCTGTGAGGGACAAGTGCTAACCCACAGGAGAAGACTGTTCTACTGTACCTTTTTCTTCCTCAAAGGTAATGAGAGCCTGGCCTCCGCTCAGAAGGAAGAGGGGTTTCCGTATGATGGTGAACTTGCCCTCAATGTGGAGGTTGTCTCCCTCCTCTGCTTGTCCAGTGAATTTAAAACTCTTTTCAGGAATACTCGCTTTTATCTTTGCATGAAAAAAAAAACAATCAACATAAGAATTTACACCAGACGCTGTATTTCTGAAGGTCACCCTCACAAGTAGGAACTCATTCGTTTAGGAGCAGAATCCACTTCTCTTACTTCCACAAGGTGCCCTTTCCATTTAATATGGGGCACCACTGAAATGATGTGGTGAAAGTGAGAGGCACACAGGATTAAAAACCGATGCTGTTCAGCAAATGGGGACAATGCACACGTGCCTAGCAAAGTTATTTTAATTACATGCCATTGTAATTCTTAAGCATTGACTAAATTTGGTACCTTAAACTGTTGCTTGAGACGTGCGTGTTCTGATCTCTTGATTTTCAGCATTTCCTCCTGCTCCAGCAGTTTTTCCTTGAGTGCACCGTTGCTTTTCTCCAACTTTTGAAGCTCTTGCTGTGAAACGTTGACAAAAACTTTATTTAACATCGCTATAAATGTGCTACACAACATAATATACATCACAGCTGCGTTCATAATGGCTAACTGTCAAGTAATGTCAAGTGCAAAGCCTACACATTAGTCAAAGCAATATATTGTCTTAATTTAAAAGGGCTGCTATGACCAGCCACACTGATCAATGAGTTTTGTGCGACTGAAGATATGAAGACCAGTTTTATTTTTCAATCTATGAGATTCTGTCTTGAATATTAATTACAATAAGAATTCCTAAGTACACAATTAATACAATATACCTAAGTAGCTTTATTACATATATATAGCATAATTCTTTCCTCCATACAAAAAACAACAACGGCATAAGTCAGCTCATGAACCTGCACGGCCGATATTCCTTTCAGGAGGGTTTACAGTTTTGCCCTGTGGGGAAAAAGACAGCCTTCACTGTACCTCCATTGCTCGCCTGTTGTTTTGAAATGCATCAGATCCGTGCTTGAGCTGAGCAAGAAGTTCCATTGTCTCGCTCTGGGCTGCCTTCTTCTGCTCCTCGGTGTCCAGTTTTTCCAGCAGCAGCCTGGACTTTTCCGTGTCTGCCCTCTCATGCTTTTGCTAGAGCGTGGAATCAAATGAGAAACAGCAGAAGGAGTGCTTCAGTTTTACAGAGGAAAGCACCACAAACACAGGCGCTGCAAAATAACCGATGTATCGGAAAGCACAGGATTTCAGTTTTGTGGCATTCAAAGTGTGCAGTACTGAGACCTGCCAGAGTTAACTAAAGAGAGTGCAATTGCATATTCCATTGAGATTGGCTCTAATGGATTTAGAAAAATGAAATATAAGATTTAAATAAAAAAATTAACAAAAGCATTAAAAATAACCAAGTAAGGAGTACAAGCATTCACTGTATGTTTAACATTCTTAGAAAACCAAAACATGGCACATGAAAGGGTTTGTAAGTTTCTGACTTGATTGCAAGTGTCCATTCCTCATGTAAACATTGCAAAACGTGTCTTTACACATCAGCACTTTGCTAGGGAAGACGTCAAGGAATGTCTTTACCTTCCACTTGTCCAGTTCCTCCAACAACGCTTCAAGCTGCGCTTGATCCTCTGGGCTCAGGGTTTCATCTCGAAAGTTATTCTTTACGAAACACAAGCAATAAAACATATTTCACCAGCTTTACCCAGACAAATTCCATAATTCACCCTAATTCATTCATTTGAATTCTTTCACCCATTTTCAGTCTGAAAACACGTTGGAGGTCCCCATTTATTAGCTACTGCATTTCAGCAGTAACATAAGATCTCCGGGTTTTGTGTACATAAAACAAAATGTGCAAAGGTTGCAATCAGGCACCTTGTTCATTTAATTATGGAGTCAGTTAAGTCAAGTCAGATAAGATAAGATTTTATTGTCCCCTGAGGGAAATTTTTTATGGACACACAGCACTCCTGTACATTTAAATAGAATGCAAAAAAAAGAGAAGAAAAACATTGCACATCATCCTATTGCACATGTACAGTATAACACATAACAGCATGTAACATTTATAACACATCACAAAACGTATCGCACTCAAGAGGGTTGTAAGAGTCCACAGCTGGAACAACAGCCAGCTGTTGTGTGTGTCCTCAGGACCAGGGTTGGGTCTGGAACCCAGCAGCTTTTCTGTGGCTCCTACAGTTTTAAACACCTCACCTGGGCGAAAGGTGATCCAACGGATCCAATTAATGTTTGACAGAAACATTTTTCCCTTCTCCGCGGCCTCAGGCCACTGACAAATTAATGAGACACAGTAAGCTGGCTGGAATCCCGAATTTTCTGGTGTGAACCCTGTGCTAATTAGCAGGAGTGAACACCACTGCTCTAGAGATTCAGGAAGTTTTCTGTCTATTTACTCATGTAAGACATGTGGTCCCGGCCCTGGACCTGCAGGGGGACACACCTTAACTGAACCCTAAACTGACTAATTGATTAATTGACAACATGACTAATTCGAGCTCTTTAACTTATTTCAGCCCTTAAACCGGTCGTAGGTCGCATTTCAACTACTCTACTTTCTAAGTAAAATAAAATCCCAGAGATCTGAGTTGAAGTGAAAAACATCGCAAAGTTCCTCAGTCAGGCTGCATGGTACAGTAGTTCAGTTAATGCTTCACTGAAGTAATTTCGCTGGGCTGGAAGGGAAACCAGCAACGGACCAGGCCTCCAGCACCACAACCGGAGAGCCCCGATGGTAAGAGGTTCACAAATACAATGTATAAACATGTAAAAGTAAAAGGCACACACGCTCACCTTACAACACACGTTTCACAACTGGAGTCGGAAAGTTTTTACAAGTTATTGACACTAAGGATTTACCTCATTTTTCATAATGTCGCACATAACATGAGACAACAATAAATGTAATTGTGATACTCTATTATTGCTTTTCTGCTTAAGGAAAGAAATAGGATTACTACCTTAATTAAAAGAAAATACTCGTTCTTCAATCTAAGTAATGTACTGTACTTACTCTCCCATTTGGAAGTGAAGTGTCCATACCTTCCTTTGAGCCCATCGCCGCAGTGCCTACAGGAATTACACAGACATGAACAGTTCTGGCTGTGGTGCCCGAGACCAGGCCACTCCTTCCGCTTTTACATACTGGCCGAGCTAACGTCCTTATAAAACTGTTACAAATGAGCATCTTTCACGCTGCCGCGGAACAAATCAAATTATAATTAAGTTATAAGGTTACTACGTGTGAATTAGGAAGCTTGTACAGCGATTCGATTACTTTATATTACGTCTGCCTATGTACTGTATACAGCCTGTATATGTATATAGTTAATGTAGCGAACGGACGTCTAGTCTGTGCTTGTTCCTCGACATAATTTAAAGTATACATTTTTCATTACTTACAGTGCAGAATAGTAAGAATAGTCCCTTTTTCTTTACTTTTGCAGAGCGGGATACTGTTCGTGCTTCCTGGTTCTGCGTACCTTAGAGATTTTCACCGAAATGGTTTCTCTTTCTTCTGACGAGTTTTAAAACAAAACCGAAAGTTAAAGAGTAGAGCTTGTGTAGCAAAGAGCAAGTCATGCTCGTAAATACATTGGTCATTTGGGACGGTGAGCTTGGCGTCGCACCGGAGATTTCAACAGCTTTCTTAAACCCTGAGCTCCTCCACAGCTGGGGCTTTCCGGGCTGTGAGCTACCTACAGATAAAACAGAAGGAATAAAACAAACAACCGCAGCACTTAAGTTAAAATACATCCAATGCATGGGTCTCACCCCGTCTGGCTATACTGTATCTGTGTTTTTATTATTCATATACAGCAATATAGAACATTTATGATATTTTCGACGACTGTTACATTTTTTGGCAAAACATTTCGTCGTAAAGTATTGATTGATACATTAAGAAAGTTGTAGGAACATTCTGCTTTTAATTAGTGTGAAGTTTTATTATCCAGACGTTTGTACTGGAACTTTAATATTCCAACAAATACACTATCAGTTTCACAGTCTGATATATATAAATGTCTATATCAACTGGAGAGAGGTTGTCCATTTTGTCTAGTACTTCATTTACAAGGAAGTTAGGAAGGTCGCTTTTTATCTTTCACTTTTGGTTTACTGCCGGAGTTGAGAGTTACAGGACAACAACTTGTAGCGCAGAATGTCTGGTATTTTATCTTTGTTGATTTTGCGTTTTTAATATTAAAACGTAATGGCGATGAAAACGTACTCGCTGCTTTTAGAAGGTCTACCCGATGACTTCGGTTGTGTCAGGTCGAAACTGGATTTGTACTTCAAAAATAAAAGAAAATCGGGAGGAGAAGTGTTGGAAATCAGACATCACCCCGAAGACAGACGAGCAGCTGTGCTGGTCTATCTGGAGGAAGAAGGTAAATATTTTCAAATGTGTTTTTTTTGTAATTGGGCGTTATTGCCTAAGATGTTGGAAACTAAATCAAGTACATAATGAAAAACAATGGCGTTTTCCTATTACGGAGAACAGGAGTGCGTCTTTCCTCTATCCTCCCCACTACTAACTTTGCTCTTCTTAGTGAAAAACAAGGTGCTGGAGAGAGGAACCCATCGCGTGGATCTGAAGACATGGGGTACCGTAGAGCTACGTGTCAAGCCCCTACCGGAGACAGGTGGGGACCCCGGAGCGCCGCGCCTCCCCCGTCTGGAACCGGAGCGCCTGCAGGGCAGAAGTGCGGCAGTGTCCCGCACCGAGGTGAGTCTTACCCCAAGCAAGGACAGGTCAGAGGTCCGAGCGTTTCTCGTCCGGCACTTCTGTCTTCTGTACTTTCAAGAGTGAACTGTGGGAACTGGCCAGTTCTCCGAACCAAGTCGTCACAGTAGTGATGAACTAACGATCAACAGAGGGGAACTTTCATGACCCACATAAACCTGTACTGGGTGGAATATTCTGTGTTTCCTTACTTGAGGAAACAACAAACCAGCCCTTGATAATGTGTTTGTAGTGACTTTTCTTTTTCATTGTTTTAGAGTCCCGGTGATGAGGAACAACATTCAGTTTGTCAAGCAGGTATGAAGACCATTGCAGTTCGTGGGTTGGAGGTGGCGATTAGACAGATACTGTAGATACTTTATTAATCCCGTGAGGGAAATTGCAGTGCAACAGCAGCCAGGCACAATCAACACAGCACAGTGTAAGCAATAATACAATATAAGTATAAAGAATTGCACACAACACAAAATATACTAAATAAACCAGAATGTACAGTGCACAAAGACAATGTATTGCACAGAACAGGTATATTGCACAATCCACAAGCATATTACAGAAGTGTAAATATATATTACAGAATCATACTGTAGATAAATAGCCCAATCCACTTCCACATATTGCACACCAGTTGTAAACAGAGGATTACTCTACTACGAGTATAAGTCCAGAATAAGTGTACTCTGCATAAGTATTGCAAGAGGTATCCTGCAAACCTCTTTATTGACCCCAAATGAAATAGGCATGCAGATGAATATCAGCCACCCGTGAAATATGCAAGACAAAGCTGATGACCCCTAAAACGCATTGATTATCACGCTGTTTCTTAAAGCACAGTGAAGACGAGGGCCCGGGGCTCACAGTCTGTTGGCTGTTGTACCAGCCCGGCTCTCAGTTAACACGCTCGAACCCTTGATCGGTTAATAATGTCAAAAGTGCATCGTTGGATTCATTTGAACTGTTTGATTGTTTTCAGTTCTTGAACATCAGAGGTTGCCTTTAAACTACAGTAAATCTTTGGTTTAATGGATGCCCCTTTAACAGTGTTCAGACAAAATCTGTGAAGGGGGACTTCTGTCTGTAAAGTCAGAAATATCAGACGTTCGCTGCTATTAGGAGAAATATACACATAATAAAATAAGGTAATAATAAATAGCACCTAGGTTTAAAATTCAAAAATGTTAATGGTGCCCTATAGGGATAGGTCAGTCGCATATGATGGGTGTTGTTCATGTTTCGTATACTTTAGAGAATTATATACTTTATATATATGACACATGAGTTGTGTATGTATGATAAAAACAGCACAGGAACAAATTTCATTGACTGTGTTGATTGTAATCATTAAAAAATAAGTGAAAATGATTAAAGAAGAATATTGTATATTTAGTATACATACTGTGTGTTTCTCATATAATGGTGTATTTTGGGCCTGAAAAATGTCATTCTTGATTTAATAACATACACCCCTTCCCCCCTATTTACTCCAGGGAACCGAGGGTTTGTAATAAAATACCACACTTTTGAGTCAATCAAAAAAAATGCAGATACTACAATGGAGCAACTTGTTAGTTCAGTTCAGGCTTTAATTAAAACATTCGGCTGAGCAGCGTGTAGGTCTCCAGGACAGGATTAGGAACCTCTGGAGCAGAGGTTGGACAAAAATACCTTGAGGTCTGTTCTGGTTGTTCCTGTTGAGGACAAAGGTGTCTGCTGACTTACAGACCTTTTGTTTCCTCCAGTCACAGAGCTGAATTCCCTGTTGCTGAGCAGTGATTCCCCGATCGACGAGGAGATCCTCCGGCTGTATTTCGATCAGTTCTCTGAAGACGTTGAAATCGACAGGCTTGAGACAAACAGGTGGATACTGAGGTGTGTTCACAAGGAAGGTGCGTATAACACCGAGCCTCATGAAGTACCCTGGCTCTTACGGTAAACACAGTAAATAGTGGCACCTATTGGATTCAGAGGAGGAATGTCTTAACTAACTCCGTATTAAATATTTCGATTTAAAGCAAGGCTTTGATAAGTTTCATCATCAAAGGTTACTTTTCTAATTAAAAGCTTTAGGTAGGTAGGTGTGTGAAAGGATATAATACTGGTGAGTGAATAGAAAAGAGTGTGTCATCTTTAGAGGGGCACCATTTGACCGGGCTCATTGGGCCAGAGTACTGGAGGGAACAGTTCAGGCCCAGTCTTCATCAGGTCCTTACATTCTGGTTTATACAGGAGATCACACAAACACCTGTGGCTGTGCTAAATGAACACGAGATGGCTGAGACTCAATGTTGAGAAGTGCAATGCGATCAGCACAGGAAGCATGATCATGATTCCAAGCACAAAGCATTTTACCCATGAAAGATATCTGGCTGTTTGTGTAGATTCCTCTAGGGTCTCATCAAGCTAGTGTGAGGAATTTCTGGTAAACATAAACAGAATTTGTGGGTATATGTTGTGATTTTTGCTGTATTGTAGGTAGACTGTCTCGATGGCTTTGAATAGAGAATTCTCTGAAACATCTAAAATAAGTGATCAGATACTACATCTTGTTTAATTCATTGTAACATTCAGGTGACCCACACAATAGTTGCTGTCATTTTATTGTGTTTATTTAAATCCCTGTCACCTTTCAGTGTAGTCCACTATATCTGCTGTGACATTCCTTTATTAACTAAAAAGCCCCATCCTCTTAGTAACTGCTCACGTTGATATACTGTATCTCGACAGGTCATGATTATATCATGGGCCTGTGTGCACATCTTACCGCCTTTAATAGGAAATACTTTTCCCAGTGTCTGCACTGCAACACTGTAGAAAAGCCCACCTTACGTCAGCACAGAGCATCGCCGTGAGAGCGGTTATTTGACACACACACACCACGACAATTCACATCTTGCAGATCTGGAGAAAGTCCTCGCTCGGAAGGAGCACGCGGTGAGTCACACCACCGTGCGGGCGGAGCTGTACGATGAGGAGGCCGAGGAGAGGCGGCTCGACCCCCGGAGGTTCGTCCTGAGGGGGTTCGGGGAGACCTGCCCGGCGGGGTTCGTTTCCGTCTATCTCAACAGCTGTAGCAAAAGCGCAGCGCACTCCTGGGAGCTGCTGCCTGACGGCATAGCTGTGACTTTCCATGGGGGTTTAGGTGAGTGACCTGCCGCCCCGCGACCCGAGGCCAGCAGCATGCCTCTTCTGTACAAAACCACTGGAGTTTCATTCACGCTCAGATCGATGTCCCAATTCTTTCACCTAGTGTTCCTAGCAAACAAGGAACACCTTTTAAGCTGTGTCTGAAAAGTTGTTCGTTTCTATGAGTTATGGGAATGAATATCAATTCTCTCTGGCCTTTTCTCAGCATTGAGGGAGCTGGAGGTCAGATTCCTCTTTCTTCATCTGCTGTATGGAGTCACGGCTAGCAGCCACACACTGCTGCTTTACTCTTAGTGGGGCTCATCAGCATGGCACTGACAGCTCTGACCAGTGAAACACACATGTGTGTATCTATCTTACTGCAGCATCTTTCCACATGCTGGTGTGTTTTAAGAGCTTTCAGTCACTGAATTATGTACATTCATAATATTGAACTCCTTCCCTCACTTTTATAACCTATCTATTCATTCATCCTTTACATATAAAGATTTAAAGTTTTTGGAAGGGGTTCTCTCTGTCGTCTTACAAAAGCAGTTCAGGCTCAGTGCAAACTCTAGACACAAGACGTAAAGCGAAGGCAAATTAACAAAGTGCAGAAAATGAAAAGTGATATGAAGGAGGGATTCATGAGTGTAGAACTTTCTGAACTTTCAAGATAAATTCATCTATCTACTGTATATACTATTTCCTATGCATGTTTTAGCATTTTTTTCATCAATACTGTAATTGAAATTTATCATCAGTCGTCTTTAACTGAAAATGCAGACTGCACTGCTGTTTAAATATAACCCCTTTTAAAGAAACTGGCGATTTTTTGTCATCTTTCTAAGATTCTCTTAAGTTCCGTGTTTTATCACTTCAGATGTTAAATCTTTTCTGAAGAAGTGCTTCACAAAACACCTGCAGGGCAATGCGATCACCGTCACCCGGCTGGAAGTCACAGACTCAGTCCTGGTCCGAGGACAGATGAGTGCCATCACAGAAGACACCCTGCAGTTGTATTTTTCCAACCCTAAAAGAAGTAAAGGAGGGAAAATAAAATCACTGAGATGGTGTACAAAAGGAGAAAGCATCATTATTGCTTTTGAGGTTGCTCAGGGTAAGTTATTAAATAACAATGTCCTTGCCTCTTAGTACAAAACCGTTTACATCCGCCATTAAGTGGGAAATAACAGACTAATCAAATATGTATAAAGGTGCTCATGAGCTGTGGTGGACAGGTGTCCTGTCCAGGGTGCAGACCTGTCTTGGGCTTCAGGGTCAGGGAACTGCCTCGTCTTTGTCCAGGAATAAGTGGCATTCAGATAATGGATGGATGAGATCTATCCATTGTCTGCGTATTTAGTGACATTCAACCATTTCAGTATTGCAGATTTAATCATCAGTTCCTTGTTTTTATTTAACAGATGCACAGCGAGTCTCTGAGCAACCACATGTGTTATGTGGGGTCAAGATGACTGCCCACCTGTACTACAGCAGTTTAGGACAGGCTTTAACTGGACAAACCCCCCCACTGCCTAATCTTCCTAGTAAAATAACCATCCCCATGGATCGACAGCTACTGGACTACATTACGAGCAGGGCCAAGTGCACAGAAGAGTTTGAAAAAGCTTTAGGGGAGGTTTATGCTAAGGTTCATTTCGAGGGGTCCCCACAGCCTGATCGGGTTGTGGTAGAAATCACTGCTGAAAGCAACTCCCTCCTGCTGCACCGCCTTGCTCCCAGCTGGGAAAGGAATGCCAGACAGACAGTACATTCCCTTCTTGATAAATATCGTATAATTCAGTTGAAAACAGAGACAGCGGTGTGGGAGAAAATTAAGACCAAGTGCCTGAGCTGCATTTCCCCTGACCTGAATGTCCACTTTGAAAGCACCACGAGCTCAGTTGTGGTCCTCGGACTGCAGGAGGAGGTTCAAAGCCTTCAAAGAAAAGTAGAACTCCTGATGAAGGAGGCAGGCGCAGAGCTGGAGGTAGAAAGGAACACTGTGGAAAGCAGGGTCATGGGGGATAGCGAAGAGGAGCTGGATTTCTTGTGCAATCTGGTTTTCCCTAAACTCGTGGATATCAAGCTTTCGAAAGACCAGTCTGCCTTGGCCTTGTGCTTGAAGGGCCACCGGGACAAAGTGAAACAGGCAGAGTCGCTCGTCAGCGAGACTCGGCAGAAGCTTGTCGCTCAGACTCTGAACCTCTCCGCCTGCCAAACCGAGTTTCTGAAGTCTCTGGACGTGAAGGAGTTTGTGCGGGATCATTTTGCCCGGAATGGCATCTCGGCCACAGTTCTGAGCCACAGGTCCTTCCAGGTCCTCGCTGAGAAGAAGGACATCAAGAGAGCTGTGGAGAAAGTGCAGGAGTCTGTGACAGAGGAGATCATCAGGCTCACTTCGGACCAAGCTCAAGTCGCCAAGACTGAAAAGTGGGAGCAGTTTCTCGGCGAACTTAAAGCAGAGGTGGGAGGCTGTGTGAGGATCGCACAAGCAGATATGCAGATCTCAATATGTGGATATGCAAACCTGGTGGCTGATGCTGCAAAGAAGCTGAAGGGATACTTGGACAACAAAATGCCTGCTACGGAAGTCATCCCACTCAACTCTGCGCACGAGGTGGAATTCGCCGATGCTTACATGAAGTTACCTGACAATCCTGAAATCAAGGCCCTGGCTGTCACCATCCTGCCGCTGCGCGCGCCTGCTGCCCCCTGCTTGAAGGTCACGGCAGCGGCCGAGCACATCCGAGGCGCGGTGGCCGCCGTGAGGAAGCAGATCGCCGTGGTCGTGTCAGCGAAGCACGTCTACGGGGGAGCAGGGGAGTCCCGAGCGCTGGCGAAGCACGAGGACTCGCTGCGGGCCCGGGCCAAGGAGCTGGGGTGCGCGCTGTGGCTCTCGGTGCAGCCCGCCAGCAAGCCCAGCTCCGGCCCGCCTTGCGGCGTCAGGATAGGCGGTGTGGTTGACCTGTCCGTGCGGCAGGGCGCCGTGGCGGGGCAGCAGGCGGACGCGCTGGTGTGCCCTGTGAACGGCAGCCTGGCCTTCGACAACCCCGTCGCCCGGGAGCTGCTCGCCGCCGGGGGGCCTCGGGTTAAGGACCCCTGTGACGACCTCCTGAAGACCAGGCAGGCTCTGCGTGCTGGAGAGGTGGTGCCCTCCAGCCCCGGCAATCTGCCCTCCAAAGTCCTCCTGTTGGCCGTGCTGCCCGTATGGGGCAAGTGCAACTGCGCGGGAGTGGGGGGCCAGCCCCTGGAGAGCGCCTTCCTGCACACGGCGGTCCTGCGGTGCCTCCAGCTGGCCGAAGAGAGGCGGTGCAGCTCCGTCGCCCTGCCGGCGCTGGGGTGCGGCGGCTTCGGCTTCCCCGCGGCCGAGAGCGCCAGGGTGGTCATGGGGGCCGTGCTGGCGTTCTGCGACCGCGAGCGGGAGGCCGCGCGCCACCTGAGGAGCGTCATGGTGGTGGAGTCAGACATCCGGAACGTCGAGGAATTTCAGAGTGTCGCCAAGGCAATGGTAGGTGCAGTTGTGTATACGTGCGCAGAGTGCATTAGTTAGTGCTGTCGTATTCGATATTGCGGGAGTGCTAGATTGGTGTAGGATAGAAAGGGAGGAGGAATGAGAGAAATCAAGAGCCTTATGAACAGAAGACTTGTTAAAGACAGTCTTTGATTTTATAGAGTACCCCTTTATCTGATGCAAACAGAACAGCATAAAGTACAGGACTATACACAGAGCGATAGCTCTTACTATTTTATCTCTGGTGTATTTCGTGCTGAGATAAGGAAACAAAAGCATTTAGCTGGGATTAGAGCCTCACCCAAGTTGTTCTGCGGCTGCCACAGAAGCAAGTAAACAGGTTGTGAATTCCTGTGTGACCTTCAGGGTTCAGGGTTTTCCCCCTGAATGTCTGGGTTTTCCAGTCTCTCCCAGCACCCTAGACACTTCAGCGTCTGACGATAACAAATCCTAACACAAAGGTGTTTTAAAACGAGGTCCAATGAGTTAAGTCTCTTTTTTTTGTGCTGGGTAAACAGCACAGCTGGCCTTCAGGGTGAAACAGAGTTGCTGATGACAAAAGCTAAGGCAGCGCAGAACAGTTGAAGGGACTCTTGTGATGAAGGTCGCACCGATGAGGAAAGGGTGTCCTGTGGATGATTGTGTGAATGAAAGGGAGCTATAAAAATCATCATCTCCATTGTTCTTGAAGAAATATCACCACATAGACATTAGCAGCTGTATTCAAGACTGAGACTTCTTAGTACTTTGTTGTGACAGAAAGGGGTTAAATGCTGAATGTAAAAATACCAACTAACTGGGCTAAAAACTACTTTAGAGACAGAGGATTTGATAAAAATCTGCCAGACACACTGAATAATCATCCCTCTTTACAAACACTTTAAAATACAGTCACGAAAATTCCTGAAAGCCCCGCTGTTCAACAAGGAATTAAACCACTGCATGAGCTGATCTGAAACATGTAGATCATTGAGAAATCAAATGTACCTGCTTGAAATAAAATCGCTGATGATATTAGAGAACGAAGCACATCAGAATAACTCCTGTGTGTCACATTTATGTCTCTGAAACAGGGGCAGACTGGTAGAGCATCTATGGGCAAAAGAGCACCTTCCCTTCCTGCGATTTCAGCAACTCTGTACAGGAAGTCAACCCTTCATCCCCACCTGCTGAGCGGTAGGACTCCGATTGTACTCAACCCCGCGCCTGCCCCTCTCGGCCTCTCAATCGTTACCTCCGCACTTCAGAGCCACTACTGCTTCTCTTGAAATTCACCACAGTCCCACCACTGCAGTGAGGAGATTTAAATGAGGCTTTTCACTCTTTTCACTGATGTACTGTGCTGGGCCTGTTTCCTCACTGAGATCACGCAGGCAAAGAGAATTTGATTATTCACTCAGTGTAATGTCTCGGCTGAAGGCTGGGACCTCAGACCACCAAGCAAAGAAAACTGTAAAGTTGTTTTTGGATTTTGTTATTCTGAGATTTTATGCAATGCCAGGAGTACACCAGGGAGATAAATGTGCCTAACAGTCTCCTAGAAAAACGTTTCTACTTTGTGTGCACGTGTGTCCTGTCTGTCTCTCCTACAGCTGCCCCGAGTGTCAGTGTCGGAGGTGTAACAGTTACTCTCCAGAAGGGAGACATTACCAGAGAGACCGTGGATGTGATAGTGAACTCGACTAACAGCTCTCTGGACCTGAACACTGGTAAGTAACTCTTTTAACAATGGAGACTAGCTCAAAGGACCCCTCAGTTTGTTTCAGTAATGTGATTGCATTGCCCACAAATGAAACGCTACCGGGATTAACAAGGATTTTATGAAAGTGGTGTTTTCAGTTTACAGTGGAGCGAGAATGTTATTTTGGTTATATCACAAGCCTCGTGTTTTGGTCCCAGTTTTGCTTTCTGTTTCTGTCTAATCCCAGTGCAACACAATGAGTCCCATAAGTCATTTGCCCATTAGTCACACTAGTCATGTCAGAGACCGTTAAACGCTGCTTGCGTCCAGTCTCATTTCTAATTTCTAAGCACACATCCACTAATGGTAGTTTGTTATCAAAATGGACTAAAAACAAATTCGTCTTTCCATGTTCTGTATATTTAACAGTTCCATTTAATAAGTACTTAGTGAAAATGATAGTGATAAGCTGGCATGGACTGCGATGGACTGACAGCCCATCCAGAGTGTACCCTGCCTTGTGCCCGTTGCTTGCTGAGAGGCTCCAGAAACCCTGAAATGGATAAAGTGGTTCAAAAATGGATGGATCGTTTAATATTTATACTACTGTAGAGTGAAGCACTTCATTAAGTAAAAGAGCATTTGATTGATTATGGATGTAATATTTTTGCTAGTTTTCTGAGTGTTGTTCAAGTGAAAATGTGTGTTGTTAAACTTTCGCACTCTGCTGTGTTTGATCAGGCATGATGATTCGCTATCCTGCCACAGGAAGCTGGGAAAGCTTGCATTCCAAATGTTAAAATAAAAATGACCAAGTTTTTTAACTGATATAGTATTTTCAGATTAATCATTTTCAAACTCGGTGGCATTTAATTATATTCCATTTACTCGCTTGTGAGTGTGTAAATTATTAGCTATTGACATACTGACATTATTGTTTTGAATTACAGGTGTCTCTGGGGCCATCCTGAAAGCTGCCGGGAAGTCTGTAGTCGAAGAATGTGCTAAACTAGGTACTTGAACACGCGCAGGTTTGACTGGCAGTCAAGCTATGGAGCTTCTGACTAAATTGACACATTGATAAAGAAGCTAGGCTGATATTGTGACTAACAAACTGGAACAGAGAGATGCCGGACCCATGGTCCAGGTTGAGAAGGAGCTCTGCTCCTTGTGCATGTATGTGCAGTACTGCACGGGCGCCTGCATCGCTGCAGCTGTGTGCATGGATGTTGACACAGTGAGAGTAAGGAGCACAAATATTTTGCAGATTTACCGAGCGCTATTCCGCGCTATTTCCGCGTGGGAAGGAATACGTAGAGCGTGTGGCTCGTCTTCCATGAGTACTCGACGTGTCATCCCGGGCGGGGGGGGTGTTCGGTGCTTCAGCTCACACGTGTTAAGCGCGGGTCCTGCGGACTTGTGAAGGAAGACGAACCTCCCTGTCGCCCTAGGCGCCCAGCCGGCGGACGGGGTGGTGAGCACGGCGGCGGGGCAGCTCCGGTGCCGGCACATCGTGCACATGGTGGGCCCCACCACCGCCGCGGGCATCGCCGCGTCGGTGGAGAGTGCCGCGCAGGAGTGCGAGCGCAGGAGCGCTGCCAGCGTCTCGTTCCCGGCCGTCGGGACAGGTGAGGCCTCGCCGGCGGGGGGGTGCAAGGGGGTGCCCGCCTGCGTGGAGCCGACCTGCAGGAGATCGGGGCTCCTTGGGCAGGTAGATTCTCCGGTTCAGTCAAGATCTCAGTCAACTTCCCGTAGTGTATGTGCCGCGTATCCCACCACGAGCTCTGTGTTTGAGAGGGATAGCTCTGGGCAGATGACACTGTGTGTACTGTGGTACAGGAAGGCAGTAAATCTAATGAACACCAACACGCCAACCTGACTGCAAGGCAAACCAATAATGACGAGCAGCACAGGTGAACTGAAAGTGATGAAGTTCTGGGCGTTTCTGTTTCCCCCCCCGCTCCGCGTTGAATATCGTGGCGATGTGTTACACCGTATTGCAGGTCGAGGAGGCATCGGGCACAAAGAGTCCATCGAAGCGATGCTGAAGGGGCTGGAACAGCACTTCTCCAAGACAGGCTCAACCAGCATAAAGTCTGTGCGCGTCATCGCCTTTGAGCAGCCGGTTTACGACTCGTTCCGAGATTACTTTGCCCAAAGAGGCCAGAAGCTCCCAGGGAATGCGAAGGTAAATGTCTGAAGGCTCTCACCTCCCTCGACACGCCTGGGGATTCTGGGCTCTTTCCTGCTGGTGGACTCTGGTGGAGACCCCTGTGAATCGGGGGTCTCAGGAATGGGAACTGTGTCTGTCTGTCCTCTGTCCAGTTTGAGCACTGCTGCCTGTGAACCCTAGGCAGGTGCTGTGAAGGAAAGGATTAGCACAATCCACAAGGCAGGAGCCATTTGTACCTGGTCTTCAGCTGCTATGGGCCTGCTCAGAGCCTGCAGCTTCCCACAGCAGCTGAACAGACAGGAGTCTGTTGAATACAAACTGGCATTTCCACGTAATTTGGTTACATAAAGCAGGTAATATGGGTAAAACAATGAAAAAAGTCAATAATGCTAATTTATGAAGCCCTTACATTTGAAGTAGTGACACACAGTAATTGTAACGGCTGTGTTTGGACATTCTGTTTTCATGGTGCTGACGGCATCTTTCTGACATGTCTTACATCCAGGCAGGCCCCCAGTCTCCCAGTGCTGGAGCACAGAGTCTTTCCACACAGCTCTCCGCAAGCCAAGGTGAGCCTCTCCTTCGGCCTTCAGACTCTTTCACAAACGCCATCCCTGTCTTTTACTCAACAATGAAGCCTGTGGCAGATTTGTCAAATCTACAGTAATCTTAAATTAATATTCTTTGAACGAAAGGTGCATACTGTATTTCTGGGGAGGTTACTTTACAACAGAATAAAACTGGAGCTGTAAGAAGCATTGTGGCTTTTAATTTGAAAGGGTGCAAGTAATTTAGACCAGGCTTACATGCGATTGCTATTTATTATATGAATAATGAAAGACACATTAGTAAAACGTCATTAAATGTTCTATATCAGTATTAACACATACAGAAGCGTCTTCACTGAGTTGTAAGTATGATTCTTTTTGTTGCTAAACCTAAATGCACTTTTGTTTTTAGGACACCTGAATGTAACCTCTACACAATTCCCTTCTCAAGTAAAAGTCTGCAACGTTACAGTGGAAGTCAAGAAAGGAGATATCACCTGTGAATCTGTTAGAGGGATTGTCAATTCTACAAACAAAGAACTGAACTTAATGGGAGGTAACTGTGTTAATTCATCATTTAAACTTAGCTTCTGAAACAAAACCTATACAAACAACATCACACATGGAAGTTTAGATCACCCTTTTTCCTTTTTGCAAACTACACTACACTACAAGTTTTTTTTAAAAAGACTGATTAGCATAGTAGGAATAAACTCCAGGTAATAATTAAAACATCACTCTCCTAGAAGTCTTGAAAAGTTAAACTTGGGTCTGAAATTGTATTTCTGGTCAAATTCACACTTTTTTCTGCTTTGTGTGGTTAACTCGAATGTGTTTATTTCAGGAGTTTCAGGTGCTATATTCAAAGCCGCTGGAAGTTCAGTCATAGAGGAATGTAAAGCATTTGGTGAGTTCCGAAAAAAATACATGCAATGACCCCATTAATGACCATCACTACAGTTAGACTTATAAGCTTTCAGCAAATTTTCATTTGAAACATAATCTTCTATTTTAACTTCTGCATAAATAAGAGCTTGCTGTCTAATAGAACAAATACTGCAGCGAAACAGTGCAATCAACATGCTTGGGCTACCCAGATCGGGACTAAAATTAAATCAGATCGTCAAATGCTGGGGATGCAATTATACTGAGCTGTAGTGCTGCGGAGTGTCAGAGCAAGTACGCTGCAGTATACGCCGTGCTGAAGCCGGGAGATTGTCTGAGCTCCGGGTCCCTCTCCCCGGCGCAGGGCCGCAGTCCGAAGACGGGGTGGTGGTGACCGGCGGCGGGGCGCTGCACTGTGACCTCGTCCTTCACATGGTGGGGCCCAAGTCCCCAGCAGCTGTCCGGGCGCAGGTGGAGAGGGTCCTCCAGGAGTGCGAGAGGAGGGGCGTCAGCACTGTCTCCTTCCCTGCTGTTGGCACTGGTGAGGACGGCTCTCGTGGCGCCCTGGCGCTCTTGGGCGTGCCTGTGCCGTGGCAGGACTTACAGGGCGGCGCCCCTCTCTTCTTAGGCAGAGGTGGGCTGCAGGCGGGGGATGTCATTGCCGCCATGCTGCAGGGGTTTGAGGACCACTTGTCCCGGCACAGCCCCTCCGTCCTGAAGCTGATCTACATCGTTGTGGCACAGGACAGCATTCTGAACGACGTCTTGAAAGGGCTGAAGCAGTGGGTCCTGAAGACACTGGTATGTAAAAACCAAGGCGATAATTCAGCTGGGCTGGATTGACAGTCGAAGAGACTTCTGGTCAGATGTCGCTTCAGATTCGGATGATTACTGTGATTATAGGAAGTGTGCTTGTCGTCTTAATCATGTGTTAAATTGAACAGATGACTGTGCTTCTGAGTGATCATGCTCTGTATAACTCCTTCCCTGTGCCTTGTGCCAGGTTGTTTCTGGTGCTTTAGACAGTGACAGCTCTGAGTCGGCGACTGAAGATGAAGATGATGGTGAGGATAATTTTTTTCCTTCTTCAGATGCCGTATGTACAGATACAAACACGCAAGATTCCTTTCCCGTGCTTTCGACTCCACAGGCTCCTCCCCAGCAGTGAACAGTATTGAAATACTGATTGGACGGATAAAGGTGAGGGCAGTGTGTGGTGACATTACCAAGGAGCGGACTGATGCCATTGTGAGCAGCACCACAACCACCCTCGATTTAAACACAGGTAGGCGAGTGGGCTACTTCATCGACCTGCGTCACAGGGCAGTGCGAAACGGCGGCGTCCTTACAGTTCTGGCACCTGGGATGGAAGCCCTGACTGAGCAGACCTTGCAAGCTTGTGTGCAAGACGAGGTGAAAGTGACGGTGTGTTCGCTTGCTCCCTGCAGGGGTGTCTGCGGCCATCCTCAAAGCCGCAGGACAGTCGGTGGTGGACGAGTGCACAGCTCTCGGTACGTAACCAATCAAGCGCCTTACCGTCTAACCTTCGGAGCTCAGACACATCCCAACAGGGGGTCTTTATAATGCACTGCGAATTCTGCAAAGGTTCTTATGGTGTATCTGAAATACCTCCTTTCCCTGCCTGCCAGGAACTCTGCCGAGTGACGGCTTTGCATTTACCGGAGCTGGAAAACTGCCAGCTAAGCACATCGTGCACATGGTGGGGCAGACAACAGAGAGCGCCATCACCGTGTCCATGTGCAAAGTGCTGAAAGCCTGCGAAGCCAAGAAGATTCAGTCGGTATCTTTTCCGGCACTCGGAACAGGTAACGAACAACACCTTCAGATGAACCTTCACCTGCGATTCCCCTCACATCTGCATGTCACTTCAGATATCGGGAGTATCTTTCTGTCTTCATTGCAGTGAGGTGGGTTTCAGACAGTTTTTGTATAGAAGTTATTAACCAAAGTTCAGGAGGGATAACGACACGTCAGTCTCACACAGCTCATCGTCACCATCATCACGGGAGCTGACTCTATATATCGAGCACAAATACCTCCCTTCACATTCGCCACAGCATCCATCCTCCACCTCACACCTGCCCCTCTGCCCCTCTGCCCCCCTGCCCCCCAGTTCCCTCCTCTCTGAATGTCCTGTGGCCAGGAGACTTCAGCCAAACATTTCTCACCAAGCATTCGTTCATGGATGATGTTCTCCCTAATGAAATCATAACGAAAGACGAGCGGTTCTTGACTTTCAAAAAATGCTAATTATTGTAGGACTAGTTTGCACCAAAGCAATGTGGATCTCGGTTTGCGCGCTCAAAACGTCGCCAGCACGAAAGAGTTCGGTCCCAAATCCCTGCTTACAATCCCGGGCCTCAGGTCGTCCTTGAGAGCTTGTGTGAGTGATTGGCTGTTTTTTTTTTTCCCCCAGGAGCGGGAAATTTAGGGGCAGCTCAAGTGGCCTCTGCCATGATAGATGCCGTGGGTCTCTTCGCTCTTGAGCACTATAAGCCTTCGCTGAACGTGATCCGTCTGGTGATATTCCAGCCCGGGATGATGCCGGAGTTTGAACAGGTCATGAAACGTTTTAAGAAAGTCACTCCTCAGCCCAAGCAGCACGGTGGGTGTCCGGAGTAGTGCACCGCACTGAAATGGGAAGACTTGACAAATTACAAGTGCTGAACACTGATGAGGATCGATCAGTATCTGAATTTCCTGAAGGCAGCATGTAAGGGTCTGCTTCATGGATATTCCTATTTAGGAAACAAAATCATTTGTTTCTGTTCATTGTAGCAATGTATTCCAAGCTGTCTTCTGATGCTGTTTGCTGATTCTGGGCTCTCAGCTTCTGATAACACATCACAAAATGATTTTGTGAACAGGTGAACACTAATAATGACAATTAGCCCAACATTTCCAGTACAGTGCAAATATTTCTACGGTACGATAAAGAAAGGCTGATCTCGGATCACATTACAGTTAGCAATGTTCGAGTAGTTTAAACCGAGAAATAAAACAGGTCTTATCTGATTCGTTTCTCATCACTGTTTTCCCCTTTGTCCGTCTTTTCAGCGCATGTTAATCCTTCGCTGAGAAAAGCCCCTGCCATCGTGCCCCACACCAGCCTGGGCAGCCTGGCCGAGCTGGTCACACACCCCGTCGCCACGGTCGAGGTGTGTGGAGCGTCCAGACAGGCTCTCGCCCAGGTGAAGAGGTGCTTGGACGAGCTGCTCGCAGGAGAGTGCAGCAGCCAGGAAGTGGATGCCACGCACCTGGACTCCCTGCTGGAGCAGGAGAAGCAGGAGATAGCCTCCCTGAGTAGGAGGCACGAGGTCAGACTTGAGGTAGGGGCTGGCAAGCTGACCGTGACTGGGAAGACGGACGATGTTCTGACAGCGGTGCTGGAGATCAGCGGGTTCTTCCAGAAGGCCAAGGAGCGAGAAAACGCGGCGCAGGACCGAGAGAGGATGAAGAACATTGTCCGCTGGGAGGTGGTGAAATCTGGCACGACGACAGCCCTCGACGCGCACATCAATTACGAGCTGGAACTGGCCTACCATAAGGAGAAAAGGCACGTGTACAGGAGCAACGCCGAGACGTTCACGGTGGATTTCGTCAGCATGCAGCAAACGGACAGCAAGGGAAATGTTCTCAAAATCAAAAGGACCACTCTGACCGATTCGGAGACAGGTGGGTCAGTCGAATGCGCTGTAGGGACAGATCACAATCCGCTCCTAAACTCCATGTAATCTTGGCTCTGGAAAGTTTCTTTAGAAGTTGGTTGGCAATGTTCTTCTCTATCAAGGCCGTAAGAAGGGTTACAAAGCAGAGGAGGAATTTGAATTGGTTTGTAGCTGGTAGTTAATTGGCCTCAGTGTCTCATCCAGCCATTTCTCGAACGAAGCAACACAGCTGGGCAGCTTGTTCCCCGTTCCCACCATGCTTTGGGCTATATCGCTGTTAATTCTTGTTTTTTGCCTTTTTAAGCCATCATCGAGCTTCCCGTGACATGGACTGATATGAAGGGAAAAGATATGGAAATAATTATGCTTTCGGCGAAATCTGAGGAATTCTGCAAAATATCAAAGGAGTTTGTGATATCCAGCAAAGCAGCTGTACAAAAGTCAAAGAAGACTGTGGAAGTGGTAAAGGTAAATATGTATTAACAGCAAATACTTACAGATGGCCAAGGGTATTATTAACGTGCATTTCAAAATCAGCCTGAGGCTCATTCTCATTAGGTCTCACAGATTCAGAAACTGGAATCTGCAAAGAGAAAGAAAATAAAGGCTTTAAGATTTCTTGGCAGCCTGGGGAATAATGATACAGATCTAATTTGGATGCTCGGCTGCGTCTCTTTTTTAATTTAGATTGAGAGAATTCAGAACCGGGAGCAGTGGCAGAGGTACGCCGTCAGGAAGCAGGCGGTCGACAGGAAATACCCCACCCAGGCGAATGAGAGGATACTTTACCACGGGACCACGCAGGATATCTGCCAGAAAATCAACAGAACCGGCTTCAACAGAAGCTTCTGTGGGAGAAACGGTAAGACCGCCACCTGCTGGCCGATCCGTGACAAGTC